CCATCCACTCTAATGATATGCATTTAAAAATTCTGCTAATAATATTTATTTAATGTGAAAATGAAAATAAAATTCTGTTTCAAAAAATAAGAGAAATATTTGATATTGAAATTTCATTATTTATTTTAAGTTAATGATAGAAAGTTTGCTAGAAATTAAATTGTAAATATTTATGTATATTTTTACAAGGAAACTAACGTATAGGAGTCCAATATTTGATTTATTGATTAAAAAAAATCGCGGTAGAATGGATCCTGCCGGTTGGCCGTGCGAGTTTGAGCGCGCGACGCCCTCATGAGGCGACGATTCCCTGTTCGTTGATTGCTTGAAGCTCCATCCTCCCGGTCAGAGCACCATGAAGCAGACGGTAATGGACGGCGACACGGCATATCTTCCCCAAGAAACCCTGTAAAATCGCTAATCCGATTTCAATGCGTGTCCAGACAATGGAAAAATCTCATCAAGACTCCATCCTTCATCGGAGAGCATCTCCACCATTCCAGTGATCAAAACTCGTATCTTCTGTTGCAACGGAATCGGATAGACAATCCTATGCATTTATATTTGCTCAATCGCGAGTTGCAAGTCCTTGAATTTCTGAAGACGGATGACTTCTTGGGTGCTACAATCACCAGTTCCAGCAATGGCCTGCTCTGCGTTGAAATAGATAAGTATGATAAATCTATTCCTTCCCTTTTATTATTAAATCCAGCGACTAGAGAGGTTAGAGAGGTGCCTAGAAGCAGAGCTATTGATGATTTTGAGGGTAAATGCACTTCAGGATTTGGGTTCAGTCCAATTCTTAACGACTACAAGAAAGTGAGAACTTATGCTTCTCAGTTTGAAACAGAGGTGAATCTAGTGGAAGTGTACTCATTAAGCACAGGGTCATGGAAAGAAGTAGAACTGGGTAACTTAAAACAAATAAGTCTTTTTTGGGAAACTGTAACTGTTAATGGAGCTGTGTTTTGGACTGGATTAAAGCTAGATGAGGCGGAAGCGGATGAAGACGAAGTGACTGTGGTAGTGTCCTTTGACATAGCAACAGAAATGTTCTCCCCGATGCCATGGCCTACTTTAGAGAATAACTCAACTGATAAGCTTACAGTGTATGACAACAAACTAGCTATCATTAGTGTCACCGTGAGTGGAATAGTTGAGCCTTCTTTTGTTGATCTGTGGGTGATGGAGGAGGGTGCACATGCATCAGGTGAGAGATGGACTTGGACTAAGAAGTATAGGAGCAGCACCTATCCATGCCGTTTACGTCCAGCGACGCTTTGGAGAAATGACATTGTCTGCAATGTAACTAAATATGAAGTGAAGAATCATAAACCAAAAAACAAGAATGAGTTAGGGATGTTCATTATCAGTGGTCGTGTTTATGGCATTTTCAATTATGTGGAAAGCCTTGTACCAATCAGTGTGCAAAATCAAAGATCCTCGATGCTAAATCTTAGTCATTTCATTGAAGATTTACTTTGCTACCCAATTTTAGTAGAATCCTTGATGTCTTTTAGAGATGTTATGTAGAATGATGAATATAGATATTCAGCTATTTATAATATCAAGCTGTTCTGTTTTCTTTCAGATATGAATATGTAATAATTTATAGTTTTTGGTGTATGGGTTATGTGACACTGTGTTTGCGTTATATGCTAATGATTTTATGAGAGGGAAGAAAAGCAGGTGAAGCTTGCATTTTCAAGTCATTTTTAGTGGAGAAATGAATTAAGTACTCTAGTTTATGCAGGTAGTATCCTATACAAACTTGACTCTCCTTTTGATCAGTGATACACTTTCATTGGATGGAGATTTTTTGTTTTCTCTGTGAAGATACCACTTGCTACATTTTTTTTTTAAAAAAAATTTGTATCTCACCGTTCATTCATATATATCTGGAACCATATATTACATAGAAAATTGCAAACCTGGCCCCTTTGTTTGTTCCTTTTCTGTCATTAAAATTCTCAATAACCATTCCTCAAAATCATACCAAAAAAAAAAAAACCATATGCTGTCTTGATTCTTACTTGCTTTTGACAGAGAGCACAAACCCACAAAGAGACTGTTCTGTAGGAATGTCATTCCTCATCAGCTTCCAGACAAGAAGTAGTACTTTATGCAAAACCTTATATGCCCCTGAACCATTTCCTTTCCAATATAAATCTTGTCCCTTTCATTAGTTGTTGAGACTTGAGAAGTTGATTCTCACTATTCTTTGAACAATACCATGATCATACAATTCAAACAACTTCCTCATATCCCATTTATCCAAATTATGCAAAATCAGGTTCTCGACTGATGAAACTGTCACAGGAGTCCTTAACTTCACTGTGGCTCTAACATTCACTTAATTTTGCATGTCCTTGACCCTTGAGATCTTCTCCGTGTAGAGTCATCTTCCACAGATGAACACTAATTAGGCCTCAGTAAAGATTGATATTAACCTCCAGAATGAACAAGAAAGACTGCCCAATTCTGGCACAATATTTTTAAGCCTATTGCATGCTAAGTTGGCAATTACTTTGCATATCACATTGCATGGGCATTTTGGCTTCATATCACCCAAGGCCTGTAACAGCACTAGTTTTTGGCACTAACATGACAAAAGTGTTATTCAGAGATCTAGGTAGCCTTCTTGGTAGAAGGAAGCGCTTGACCATTGAACATGTCTTCCCTCATCACAAGCCAATATTTTTGGAGGAATCTGCCAATACATCCATCTTATCCAATCTGAGTTGCTGAATCACCACGTCAATTTCCCCATCAGTCACTTGTGCACTAAGAACTTCCAGATGACTGCTACAAAAATGCTCCTCTATTAGCTTTTATTAGTTATCCTGCATTGTAACCCCATTACCATTGAAATCTTTTAACTTGAACATAAAATTGTTTCCCCTTCGTCTAGTTACCAAGTTGTGAAAGTATTTAGTGCCACAATCTCTTTTGTTCAAAATTTAATTATGCCGTCTAAGCCTACAGAGTTTCTTCACACTCCAACCAAAACTTGAACGTATTTTTCTATTCTTTTATCCAAAAACCATGATTCCCCATTCCAACTTGGTTTTGAAGATTCTTTAACATTCCTTCAGGAATTAATGTATTGTTTCTAATCCGTACTCTTTTGTTTTGATCCAAATTAGCATTTCTTCTTTAACAGTGCCTTCAAATTTGACTGAAGGAGGGCTTGTTCCGGTAAGAACTTAACAGTTGGGATTGTAAAAAAATTGTGATGCACTTGAACGTATGAAGAATGAAACTGATGGGCTTAGTTCAACCACTGGAGGTGACTGATGCGCTGGGAAATTATAAGGAGTTCGTGAGTTAAATTGATTATTGGCAGTGATTGTCTGATCTTTACATTGGAAGTTTGGAACATTTGAATCGGGAGTCTTTAATTACACTTTAATTCCATGTTCATAGCTTTATGAACGAATAACTTAATCTATATACTCTTCTGGTCCTTAATATAAGACCAATTTAACTAATTTGATTAGATTAAGGAAGTTAGGTAAGTTAGTTAATTATAAGAAAAGTGACACATTTTTCCTAAAACACCATAATCATCTTCCTTAATATCCCCTCTCTCTCTTCTACTTGATTATGATTGAGGGAGTATCCACAGGGGTAATTTAGAGAAAGTTGATAAATATGAGAAATGAGTCTTATATTTATGACCAAAACCAACTTAAGAATTGGGTCCTATATTAAGGATCGGAGGAGTAATTAATACTACCTCCGGTCCTAATTATAAGAACCAATTAACTAATTTAAGAAGATTAAGGAAGTAAGTTGAGTTAGTTATTTGTCTTAAATAGGTGTTGTCTTTCCTAAAATATCCTTACTAATCAAGTTTATTAGCTAGAACTATAATTATTAGAAGGACTATCTTGGGAAAAATTGAGTAAATATGAGAGACAAAGTGGATTGGGGTCTTATATTTAAGATCAAAATAATAATCAAATAGAGTCTTATATTAAGAATCGGAGGTAGTATGATACTTTTTACTGGTAGCTATAAGTGTTTTCTACATTCACGGAAACTCAGATATGAAACCTTGTGTTTAAACCGCCAAAACTCCTTTCACCAAGCCCAATGGGTCAATGCACATTGGTATTCCGTATATTCTGTACACATGCGCCCCCACACACCCATATATATTATAGATTAGAGGAGGTTTAACCCGCGTGATATTCTTTTAGGCTGTGAGATTTCTGTAAATTTTATGATTTGTACTAATGTAATAAAGACATTTTAAATAAGTACTTTACTTATTGAAAAAATCACTAAAAAAAACCGTGAAATTTGAAAAATAAATTATTATCAAAACTCAAAACCTATACTATTATGGTCAAAACCCATAATAATGTTGTAACGGGTCCTAGTTTGAAATTTTTTAATTTTCATGATCTTTTTTTTGTGATTTTTCCTTACTTATTAGTATTAGTATAATTTTTTCCAATTTTTACAAACATCATTTTCTGTTTTGAGAAGGTATTATTTAATTTCTTTTTTAAAGACAGAAAATAAAAATATTACTCCTCCGGTCCTAATTATAAGACCCAATTGACTTATTTGAGAAGATTAAGGAAGTAAGTTAAGTTGGTTATTTATAATAAATAAGTGTTGTTATTCCTAAAATATCCTTGCTAATTAAGTATATTGGCTAAAACTATCATTATTAGAAGGATTATCTTGGAAAAAAAATGCATAAATATAAGAGAGAAAATGGATTGGGTCTTATAATTAGGACCAAATAAAAAGTCAAATTGGGTCTTATAATAAGGACCGGAGGAGTACTTTAAACCCAAAAAAAATGCAAAACAAAACATGTACTCAGGAATACTGCTAAAAATGAAAGAACTGAATTTTGTCTATTAAATCTTAAAATCTAAGTGTTGGCCAAAAACAACCGATTTATTTATTGATAAAAAGTTTGCTTGCGATAAAATATAAATTAATTTCATTAGGCACTGACAACGCGAGGGATTCCAGTGATGACGTTGATGCGTTCTTCCCAGCCAAGGGCCCTGACGCGGATGGAAATAGATGGCGGCAACCCAGTTCTTCCCCGAGAGGTCATCACAAGCATTCTCATACGGCTTCCGGTAAAAGCCCTAATCCGATTTCAATGCGTGTGCAAAGAATGGAAAAATCTGTTCAAAACCTCGTCTTTCATCGCAGAACACCTTCAACACTCCACTCATCAAAACCCTTCTCTTATTTTTGAAGATTATGGCATACCTGATCCTTTTCGAGTATGTTTGCTTGATAGTGAGATGCGAGTCCTTGAAGTTCAGAGCGATCCTTTTTTTGATTCTAAACGATGTGTTTGGACCATCAATTCCTGCAATGGCTTGATCTGTCTTGGGATTGTTAATGTTCCTCGCTCTCTTTCCCTTTTAGTATGGAATCCAGCGACCAGAGAGACGAGACTGGTGTCTGAACTTGTTGATGGTTGTGTTGATCGGACTTTACACGTAGGATTTGGATTTAGTCAAACTGTTAATGATTACAAGATAGTGAAAATTTGTGATTCTGAGAATGATTTTCTGGTTAATGAAGTGGAAGTGTATTCATTAAATAGAGGGACATGGAAAGAAGTAGAATTTGGAAAGTTAGATGGTGTAGGTATGATTTCGGGGGGTTTCGCTTTTAATGGAGCTATCTTTTGGGTTGGGTTAAAGCTAGCTGTGGACGAGGATGAAGATGATATCGACATCATTGTGTCATTTGACATAGCTACAGAAGTGTTTACATTAATACCGATGCCTCCTTTGCCTTCTCCGGTGATTAGTGCATCAGATCGCAAATATCTTACTGTATATGGCAACAAACTTGCCCTGCTATCTCATACTGTGAGTGAAGACTTCAAATCATCTTTGATTCATTTGTGGGTGATGGAGAAGGGTACATGTGCATCTAGGGAGAGATGGTGTTGCACTAAGAAATATACTAGCAGCCCTTATCTAGGCTGCAGGTTAGGCTACATGTTAGTTCCAGTGACTATTTGGAGGAATGAAGTTGTTTGCAATGTAACTGAAATGCCTTCCGATGATCTAATTGGAGATGAAGGTGAACCAGATGATGAACGAAGAATTGTTATGTTCAATATCACAACCAATGAATTTAGGACGCTTGATATCCGCAAATTTATCCTTGGTTATGGAATTTTCAATTATTCAGAAAGCCTTGTACCAGTTGGTAACATGCACGTTGAACAGCTTTGTTTTTAAATCTTGATTATGATATTTCATATTTACTTTGTTTAAGCACTGTTGGAAGACATAAACCTACAAGAGTTTAGTTCATTCTGTAACTGCAAGGCTTCATGTCCTTTAGTGATTTTATCAAGAATGATTAATGCAGATATGCAATGACAGATGTTTGTAGGTTTATTGGACTTATCTGTGATATCAGGTTATTCAGTTTTTCTTTTTTTCCAAAGATGGGCATGTATTTTAGTTGCTAGTGTGTGTATTGTTCGGGGCTAGTTATTTGCCTAATAAATATACCTATTATTCTATATAGTAATATGTGAAGGAAGGAAAGTAAGTTTTGATTCATTTGTAATGGATAAATGAATTAAATACACTGGTTTGTGACTTTGTGTAAGTAGTAGTCCTTCTTACTGTTTGTGCTTTTTGTCATTTTGGATACATGATCCCTCCTTATATTCAATCTTTTTTCATTGGTACTCTTTCAAGTAGCATGTGCTTTTCAAGATTCTTGGTTTCCTTAGCTTGTAGCATGAAAGATAGAATTATTATTTTCGATGCAGAAATGTAATAAATCACCATGTTTCCTGCAATCAGATTGAACACTTGTGCGTATTCTGCGTTTGAAATAATGTTTCCTGCCATCAGAATGGAGATACCAATGGAGCTTTTGTGAATACCTCCGTTATTGAAGTTTCTTTTTGAATGAATAAAGCAAGGAGCAAGTTTAACCAAATTCCATTTTCTTTTTTCCTTTTTTTTTTCTTTTTCTAAAATGTATGTGACCATGAATTTATATTAAGAATTCCTTGTATCTTGCCAAATAAAATGTGTTTTTGGGTTGACCTCTAAGAAATTATCTTCAAAATACTTGCTTACCTCTCAATGTTTATGCTTATAGAAGGCCTCTTGTTTTTTGGTTACAATGGTTTTGCTTGCTCTATGTTTATATTGTGTGTTGGAACTCTGTCATATATACGAATTCTGATCATATTATTTTGATTAGGTTCAACTGAAGGTTATATGTTTATTTCTTTTCTTAAGTAATTAAAAAAGTTAGGGACTTAGATGGTGGAGGTATAACTTACTAACGGTTTCACTCGTAATGGAGCTATTTCTTGGTTTGGGTCTAAACTAGGTGCAAAGGAGGATGAAGATGATATTAATTTGGTATGCAATAACATATGCTAGTAGCTTTATCTGAATTATCTGTGATATGATATACTACCTCTCTACCTTAACATAATATATAAGTTAACTAATTTGAGTAAATTAAAGAAGTTTGTTAAGTTAGTTATTTATGATAAATAGTTGTTATTTTTTCTAAAATATTTTTGCGAATAATATGTATCAGTTAGAATTACTGTTTGATAAAGCTTTTAACATATACAAATATTACAAAGATTATTTTGAAAAAAATAGATGAACATAAAAGACAAAGTATATTGAAATTTTATATTTATGATCAAATTGAATATCAAATTAATTTTTATATTAAAGATCAGAGGTAATATGTTTTAGTTGGTCTGTGGATTGTTCGGGATATTTTATCTAACCAATATACCTATTATTCTGTGTAATAGGTGGGGGAATAATGTAAGCGAAGAGAACATAAGTTCAAGTTTCTGGCTTTTTTTCGGTAAAAAAGAAAGTTTCTGGCTTTTTTGTTCATTTCTTCAGGATAAATAAATTAAATGCATTAGTTTGTGGCTTCCTTTAGCTAGCGGTTAAACATGAGTTTAGTTTCACCTTTTGATGGCTTTATTGCAGTGACCAAGGGACTAGCAGAACCCTCAGTAAACACAATGCCAGTATGGTCAAGCAAATCTCGGATATGTCTACATTGAGATGCTAAACTTGTGTGATCATCTGAGTTTCGGACTTCAATAACTATTAAAAGAAAAAACTTTATTCGGCTCTAACTATAAGAATAATTTTATAATATAATTTACACTATAAAATGGAATCTACCACGAAGAGCAATTAATTTCACCAACATCCTTTGGCATAAATTTGTCATAAAGCAATTACTTTAGTTGAGAAATACTACTTCCGGTATTTAATATAAGACCTTATTTGACTTTTATTTTGATCCTAAATATAAGATCCCAATCTACTTTGTCTCTCATATTTATGTATTTTTTTAACATAGTCTTTCTAATAGTGATAGTCCTAACTAATACTCTTGATTAGTAAGAATATTTTAGGAAAGACTATACCTATTTATTACAAATAATTAATTTAACTTTTTTCTTAATCTCCTCAAATTAGTCAACTAGTTCTTATACTTCCTCAAATTAGTCAACTAGTTTTTATAATTAGGAATGGAGGTAATATATACTTATGAGAATCCTAGGAGTAGATTATCATCCATATAGAGTGAAAAAAAAAAAACCCACGGAGTGTCAAACTCAGAACTTCCTATTTAAGAAAATTCAGAAAAAAAAAAAGGTTATTGGCATTATGAGGCTGAAAGACTCCTGCTAATGCAATTAATAATTTAATGACAGAAAAATTGATCAAAATATTATATTGAAATTAGTTTTATAAGGATGGCATTTTTTATGTATTTAATAATATACTGAATATAGAATCTGTAATTATTATAATTTTTTAACGATCTGTTTATTATTGATAGTGGCGAAAAAAAAATTCATTATTGATTAAAAGAAATTTTCAAGGAAAAAGAAATAAAAGCATACATGACACACCGTTATAAACCTCAACCCCAGCGGATAGTCGGAACAATGAACCGGATTCCTAATCAATCTGGTCGAAAGTATCAAACATATTACTCTCTCTTGTTTGGATTTTATATTACCTTTACATTTTACTTAGTTCGAAATAATGTTGTAGTAATTTCATTTTGCTGGTAGTTTGTATTTGAATTTTTTTTAACCAAATATACACACACATATGAATGTTTGATTTACTTGGGAATTAATTGTTTCATTTAAATATTATTTTTAGAGTTATATATAAATCTTTTTATACTTTTTTAATTAAAACTGTTTCGTTTACGAATTAAGCGCCTGGCCGATTGCTTTCCCTCCGAAACTAGGACTGCCATTCTCCACAGCCGAGCGCCATGAAGCAAACGGTAATAGATCTCGGCAATCCAGTTCTTCTTCAAGAAATCATCATAAACATACTCATACGGCTTCCGATAAAATCCCTAATACGGTTTCAATGTGGGTGCAAACATTGGAAAAATCTCTTCAAAACCCCGTCTTTCATAGCTGAGCACCTCCATCACTCCGCTCATCAAAACTCTTCTCTTCTTTTCGAAGATAAGGACGAATGTGGTCGTTTGCGCTTACGTTTGTTTGATCCTGGTATGCAAGTCCTTGAATTTAAGAACGAACGTTTTATCGGTTCTGTGCGGCGTAATTGGATTGTCGATTCCAGCAACGGCCTGCTCTGTGTTATTGGTAAAAATCATTCCATTTATTTGTGGAATCCAGCTATTAGAGATGTTAGAAGAGTGCCCAAAGCTATTAACTGGTTTGAGAATGATGATTTCTATTTAGGATTTGGATTCAGTCCAATTGTTAATGATTACAAGATAGTGAAACTTTATGTTTCTGGGGCTGATGATGATCTGGTTAATCTAGTAGAGGTGTATTTGTTAAGCACAGGATCATGGTACGAAGTTGAATTTGATGATTTAGATGGTGTAGCTATTAGTTCTAACGGTTTCAATATTAATGGAAATGGAGCTATCTTTTGGTCTGGCTTAAAGCTAGGTGTGGAAGAGGATGGTGAAGATGATATTGATTTGATAGTTTCATATGACATAGAAAGGGAGTATTTACATTGATTCCAATACCTACTTCAGCCTCTACATATTCAGAACATCTCAATGGTCTTGCTATATATGAGAACAAACTTGCTATGCTTTCTCACACTCTGAGTGATGACCTTGAATCCTCTTTGGTCGAATTGTGGGTGATGGAGGAGGATACAGGTACATCTAGGGAGAGATGGAATTGGACAATTAGATATACCAGCAAGCCCTATTTAGGCTTATGGTTACTCCCAGTGACTATTTGGAAGAATGAAATTATCTGTGATGTTACTGTATTGCCTGAAGACATTACTAAAACTAAAGCCGAAGTGGAGAATGCTGAGCAGAAAATTGTTATGTCCAATCTCACTACTAATGAATTCAAGATGTTTGCTATTCGCAGAGCTGGTGGTGTTGGTTATGGGATTTTCAATTATGCTGAAAGCCTTGTTTCAGTTAACAACATCCAAATTGAGTAGTCTTGATAGCATTTTTACTTTTTTTAAGCACTTATGGTGGAATTGGACACGAGACTCTACTTCATTCTGTGACTATAATATTTGATGACCTTTTGAGACTTTATCTATAATGATGAATTATGGATGCAGATGGGCGATAACAGATGTTCGTAGCTCTACTTGACTTGTATATTATATCAGGTTATTTAGTTTTCTTCCAAATATGGAAGAAAAGTAAGTGGAGTACATTTGACTTCCCTGCATCTTCATTCATTTCTAATTAAATACATTCATTTGTGACTTTGTGGAATTATGTCCTCATATTTCCAATATTAGTGTTTTTTTTTTGGGGGGGGGGGGGGACTTGTGAATACGTCATCTTTCATCATAGGACGCCATAACTACCTACTCTGCTCACCAAGATTGCTTGTCCGTGCTTTTGCAACAAGTATTCAACTATTCATTGGTTGGCTTCCTTTGAAGCTCGATTATTGGTTTAATCAGTTATGCGTTCTTCAAGTATTCCTTTTTTTTTGGGATGAAGATCCTTTCACATGTGAGGATACCTATTTCTGCTTTTATTTGTATTTCTCCTTTTATTTTCAAGCAAAATATAACATCTCAACTAGTAAAATTGCTAGTAATAACCATTAAGAACAAGAACTAAAACTGTCTCATAAGTAAGAATTGCTTTCTTTTTTCTCAGAATAAGAATTGCTTTTTTCCCCCTCAGAATCTTTGGGCACCGACCAGATACCAAGAGAAAGATGACAAGCAAGCTAGTATGTTGTAGTATTTGCAGCATCCAATGAGATTTTCTTTTTAATACTTATGAGCGAGAATTTTTAACTAGGAATTTTGTTTTCTGTATCCAATTCTCTACCCATAAGATGCCGCTGCCTTGGAGTTTTGAGATCCTTAAAGGATTTACGTGGTACAGACCTCTTAAATGTCAGTATCCTTCTATCATGATATTCAGATTTCATCTCATCTAATTATTCTACAAGCATCCTTATCCTATTGATTTTCTTTTCCCATGGCATATTATTTCACAAATGTCAGTACAGGGACATGATATTCCGGGACATGATATTCCAGGACATGAAGGCTTCCAACCATAATATTTCAGTTTTCAGGTTAGTTTATGAATTGTTGAGTACTCAGACTTCCCACATCTATTTAATTTTACCTTATTCTATGCCTGCTATTACACATTTGGGTCATGCTCAATTTGATCCTTTTGAGTTTTTAATATTTCTAATTGCACTTGTGTTAAGATGATCACACCTTAATTTTATATTGTCCTTGTTTTCTAAAGGAATAAGGAAGTGGAACTTGATATGCACCAATTCATTAAGGAATTGCATGAAATGAATAAGGAATCAGCAACAAAGTTGCAGGTCCCTGTTGTGGAGCAAGATGGACTCCCATGCAATCTGATTATTTTTCCTCAATTTTTAGTAAAGCCTTCACATATCCTTCGGGGGCACATTTTGGTATTAGCTTCACTATGGACTTAAGTCTTCAGACAGGTAATCAACAATATGATGGGAATTATTTGCAGGGATGTGGAATGACTTGAATGTTGAGGTGGAATAACTATTAAAATCCTGATATGTAGAGAGGCGCATTCTCTCTGGTTAAAAAGAAAGAGGGGCACATTGTGGGAAACAATGAAATAAAGTTCCAAAACTTTTACTCCAGGTGATTAGCTTTCTTAGACATAATTAGAAATTTAGAACTACTTACCTCTCAATTTAGGTTATTATTGCTTTAATATTTTTTTGGTAGGTTTCAAAAGTAAGGAGGGAATTGGGTAGCTAGCTTTCTCAAACTTTAATATTAAATGGTTAGATTTTTTTTTTTTGGCAGGTTTCAATTGAAATATCACGCCTTCTGGCTTCTAGGCAATGATGTGGCTAAATCTTCACATTTTCTTTTATTAAATTTTTTTCCTTTTTCAGGAATATGTTATTTAATCAAGGAAAAATGATAATAAAAGAAGCTGAAAATTTGTAAATGTCAAATAAAGAATGTCCATAAAAATTTGTTATTTTTTGTAAATTTAGAGTTGTCAATATCAAATAAAATATTGTTACCAAACTTGATTTGATATTTAGTAATTTTTAACTTTTTTTCTCCCTTTAATCAATACAGAATAAGTAGTATGCATTTTTTTTTTAATATTTAGTGATTTAAAGTTTTTTCCGGACCGAAGGTTTGATTTAGTTTAATAAATTGGCCTAAAAAAAAACTTAGATAATGTAAAAAGTATGGAAAGCAAGAGTTAGAGGAAAAAATTATGAGGGAATATATATTTTTGTTTGTTTGAGTAAAAAATATAATTAGAAGAAAAGCTGAGGGGCAAAATATGCCCAGAACTCTCATTTTCTATTCAAAAGTGGGGCGCTTTTGAAAAGGAAATGTATTATCCAAACTTGTTGCAAAATGAGAAAAGAGAAAGAGAAATTACAAATAAAAACCCTTTAATATGTAAAATTAGGAGTATTCAATTTGTCCCGTCCAGGGTATTTCGGGTCGGGATGGGAACAGTGACTGGGACAGGATGGGACACAAGACGGGGTTGTCTTGTCCCGTCCTGTCCTAGGATTTTTTTAAAAAAAAATTATTTATGAATAATTATTATTAAATTATTTAATTTACTTATTAATAATAATTATTATTTTTATAGTGAATTTTAGCTCGTAAGTTGTAGTATTATTTTAACAAAATCTCATTCCTTAATAAAATAATTCATAAAGACATTATATAGTGTTTTTTTTCTTGTATTTTTTTATAATATTATTTTTACATCTTTTTTATACTATATAATTGAGTTTTCTACATAATTTTTTAATGATGTTTTTATCTTTAGAAGCCCAATAAAAAATAAGCATTATAACATAAAAATTCATATAAAAAATTATTTTTTTTAAAAAAAGAGGGAAGCGGGACGTCCCTGTCCCGTTTCGATCCCGATGGGACGGGACAGGACACTAGACAAAATCTCTGTCCCGTCCCTATTCATCGGGAGGGGACCAGTCCCGATCGCGTCCCGTCCGGTCCCATGAACACCCTTATGTAAAATTGTGATTTGGGACTTTAAATTTGAAAAATAGCAAATAAGGATAAGATCTTACTCTTGCAAATATAAAATGTTGGTGAAATGTCTGAAATGCCTCTTAGTCAAATTGTAATTTGGTCTACTGAAATTGTAATTTGTTAAAGTAAACTTGTCATTTCTTATAGTCAACTCTTTATTTGGCGTGCTCTCAGCTAAGTTGTAATTTGGTCTATTGAAGTTGCCATTCGCTAAAATGAACTTGTCATTTTTCATAGTCAACTTGTCATTTGGCTCAATGACATTTCAGAAATTTCACCACAATTTCATATTTACAAAAATAAGATTGAGTCTTTATTTGTTATTTTTCAAATTAAAAACTCCAAATCGCAATTTTATATATTAGGGGTTTTTATTTGTAATTTTTTCAAAGAAAAATGTGGGCTGATATCTTTTTCATACAAGTTTTATTATCATTGTGAAAATAGTCAAATTTCCTTTTTACCCTATTTATTCAAACATAAAGAGATAAAACATTTTTCTAACAAGTAGTTGGTTAAAATAATAAGCGGATTTATTTTTATTAAAAAAAAAGAATACAAATTCAAATCATGAAAAGTACACTTATTAAGAGAGTTTTAATTTTGACGTTCTTGGCTAAACAGATATTAGTTTCAAACCTAAAGTGACTTGATAAAAAAAAAAGAGATAACAACATTTTCTTTTTTGCCTTTTTCCCTTTTTTTTTTAAGAAAAAGGGATAATTAATGTGCAAGTCTTCATAGTTTCAACTTTTTTCTAATCAAGTCCCTATAATTTTTTTTTTCTTTTTATCAAATCCTTATTATTTTGTTTTTTTTTTAATTAGGCCATTGTAGTTTTTATTTTTTATTCCATAAATAATAATATTTTATAAATAATGAATTATTATAATAATCTTATGTTAATATTATTTTAAATTTTTAGTTAAGCATATATATTATTTATTTTTCAATTCCAATTTTTATATCTATAAAATTCATATTATAATAATAAAATTTTGTAAAGTTAGAATATAATTATAAATAATTTATAGTTAAGTATGATCGATTATTTCCATTAATTATTAATTACTAAATAATTATATTAATTATTTTTTCAATTATAAAATTATTAATTGGAAAATAAAATTAAGTTTAAAGAATAAAGTTAATAAATAATTTTTTAAAACTATGAAGAACTTAATTAAAAAATAAATGAAACTATAAGGACTTGATAAAATAAAATAAAAGACCTAACTTAAAACATGTGAAAGTAAAAAGATCTAACAAATTTTTTTTTATAAAAACCTGATTAAAAATTATATAAAACTATAAGGATCTCAAGATTAATTATCTCAAAAAAAAATCATAAACAATAAATAGAGGAAATTACGTATGTGAGATTTTGTTAAGTCCACCTTGATGAATTTTAGGATTTATTGAAAAGTAAATAAAACTGGGCTTTGAAATGAAATATGTTCCTTTTGTTTTGAAAAAAGCGGGTACAGTTCCCCATCACGCTGTGCGTTTCCCGATTGATTATGGAGTGTTTAGATGAAACCAAACTATAGTTTGAACAATAATTTTTAGAGAATAGATTTTGGGAAAAATAGATTTTGTGAAGAATATATTTTATAAAAAAATGATTTTGAGAAGTGAAAGTGTTTGGATAGTTGTTATCAGAAGCACTTTTTATATATATAAATTACTAAAAAAAAGCATAAGTTGATATGATAATTACATAAAATATAGATTTTATGATATATTTTAATTTGAAGAAATAAAATTATTAATAATGTATTTTTTACCAACATAATTAATAATACATAAGATAATGTAATTAATAAATAATTAATATGTGTATATATGTTTATAAGATATAAGGTTAAATGTGTTTATTAAAAAATAATTGAGAAATGTTAAAATCATATTATTGTTGA